AAAGACACAATGCTGTATAGCAGATGTAAAATGCATTCAACTGGCGTAAAGGAAATTTTTTACCTTTATACAGGCTGATTAGAAACTCTCTTCTACCTCCTTCCCCCAACTACTAGCAACCACCATTCAATTCTTTTGTTTTCACGAGTTTGGCTACTTTAATTTAAAAAAAATGATTTTAGGGAGAGAGGGGGCAGAAGAGAGAGAGATAGATGGATCGAACCCACAACCTGGGTATGTTCCCTGACCGGGAATTGAACCTGCCACCTTCTAGTAAATGGATAATGCTCCAACTAACTGCACCCCACTGGCCAGGGCAAGTTTGACTATTTAGATATAAGTAGAATCATGCAGTATTTGTTCATCTGTGACTGGCTTATTTTACTTAGCCTAATGTCCTCAAGGCTAGAGATGTTACCAGGCTCTATTCTAATCACACTTTTTGCTGTTTACCCCTCCCCTCCTTTTACCACTCAGGCTTAATCTTCTGCCAATTTCATAGCCACTGGACTCCTGATCATTGTTCCCTTGCACAGCTCTAACACTCTAGATATGTTCTGGCCCCAGAAACCATTTCTTTCCCCCACTGCTTTTAGGTGATGCATAAGCATTGCCTTAGTGAGCACTTTTAAAGTTTCAGCATATTCTCTCCTTCTTGGTTCTTTCTAGTTAATGTCCCTGACTTATTTTCTCTCTATCACTTCCACTATTGTATGTTTACTAGCGGCCTGGTGGACAAAATTCATGCCCTGCTGGGGTCCCTCTGGGTGGCCTGCAGGGGATGGGCCAAAACCCTTAGTTCAACACTGCCTGCAGCTCTTACCTGATGCTGCCCCTCATCCTGGCCCCACTGTGCTTGCCATAGGCTCCTGCCCAATCAGTCCCGATTGGGAGAGGCTTGAGCTGCTACAGCAGTGCTCACCAGCCACGAGACCTGCATCTGGCGCCCTCCTAAGGGGAGTGGCCTGTGGGATCTGGCTGAAACCAGCTCTCTGACATCCCCCAAGGGGTCCCAGATTGCGAGAGAGCCCAAGCCAGGCTGAGGGACCCCTCCAGTGAATGATCTGACTGGGGAGAGACTGCAGGAAGGCTCCAGGGTGTGTCTAGCCCATCTAGCTTGGTCCTGATCAGCCAGAACCCAACAACCCCCTGATGCTCAGTACATGTCATAGCAAGTGGTTGAGCAGCCTTAGCATATCATTAGCATGCAGAGATTGGTTGTTCAGTTGTTCTTTCGTTTGGTCAATTTGCATATTACCCTTTTATTATCTAGGATCTCTTTAATTATACAAGAGTAAAATCTCTATAAAAACAGGGATTTAATATATATATATATATATATATATATATATATATATATATATATTTATCTTAACAGCATCTAGAATAATGTCTGAAATATAGTAGGCATGCAGGTACACTATGTTTTTTTAATCAATGAATGAATATATGCTATTATGAGCCAGTTATTTAGTACATAATCTTGAAAAAAATTGAATCCTGCCCTCTGCCAATAAACAAACTAATAAAAATATGTTAAAAATGAGAGAGGTTTGTTTAAAGAGTAAACATGGGACAAGGGGTAGGGTGAGATACTCAAGTTGGGCTTCCTATAGGAGGTGGCACCTGAGTCTGATGAAGTTAGCCTAATGAAGGGAGGAGGAGAACTTTAGAGAAGAGTATTTTTGATAGATAACATGAACAAGGGCAAGCTCTAATCACCTACGGTTGAATATTTAATAATGCATCCATTACTAGCTAACTTCCCTTTCCTGTATCACTGTCTTCAACTATCCCTTTTCCTTCAAATTCTCAACAAACTGCTGGTCATTAAATCTTGGTTTATGGTTGGCCTTTGGAAGAACCCAAAGGAAGACAGTGATTCTTACCCAAACTCTAGAAAAAAAAAAAATACAAGTCTTTGGGACATAATAAAGCAAACCAGATTGACTGGATATAGATTTGAGGTGATTATATTTGATAGCAAAAGAACTTGAATTCGAGGTTAAGGGATTTGTTTGGATTGTTTCCAAATTCTTTATGAAAGCTTTGAATTTGGGGATGAGGTAATCAAAATGATATCTGAGTCTGGCATCTAATGGTATAATACTGGAGGCAAGGAGAATCTACAGGGAGGAAACAATTCCAACAGCATAGTTAGGGAATTCAGAAATGCATTAGTGAGGTGGCAGTGAGCATGGAAAGGAACAGATGAAGATAAAACGTGAAAGAAAAAAATGACAAGATTTGTTGTCAAGTTGTGTGTACTGCAGGGTTTTGTGTTTTGCAGGACCATGTAAGTTAGAGAGCAGAATTGTTATTAATAGAGATGAGGAAACTGTGAGTGGTATCTGGATTTGATGAGTTAAAGACATTTGCACTTTGTGCCAGTGGAATGTTCAAGTAGAGATGTTCAGCAGACAGTGGAAAATACAAGAAGGCAGGAAGGATTTTGTTTCAGAATTGGGGCTCTTTCAGATAGTGATACATGTGTCTGGCTATTTAAAAAAGAAACCCAAAGAAACACTTGCTTTATACAATTATTACAGTCTTCACATCGTGACTCTCAATAGAGAAGGGTGAATGTCATGGTAACCTGCAATGCGTGGCAGACTTTGTAGTAGAAGCATGCACACGCTGTTATGTGGAGAGACTGTAATTGTGCATGAGAATATGAGGGCATGAGGGAAGGCAAAAGCTAGGTTTTAACCATGCAAGTTCTTGAAGATATTGGACAATAGGAAAGCAAGAAATCAAATTCAAAAAGTTTGACAGAATCTGACCCAGTACACAAGTTAAGAGACTCAGATGTGGCCAAAACACCATCCATTCATAGTAGAGAATTCAGACATAGAGGATTAGTGCTATTTGCTTTCTGCCTAGTTTTTAAATAATGTTTTTATTGATTTCATAAGAGGGAGGGTGAAGGATAGATAGAAACATCAATGAGAAAGAATCATTGATCTGTTGCTTCCTGCATGCCCCATATCGAAGATCGAGCCTACAGCCCCTGCATGTGCCCTGACTGGGAATTGAACCGTGACCTCCTGGTTCATAGATTGATGCTCAACCACTGACCCACACTAGTCAGGTTCTGCCTAGTTTTATAGAGTGGCACTGGCCACACACTGAAGGTTATTAAAGAATCCATCTCTTAGCGCCCCCCCTCCCCCCCCCCCCCCGTTCTAAATAAAGTTAATTTGATTCTCACAGGTCACACTTTCCATTTCTTTACTTGTTACTCTTTTCTGAACTCTCTCCAATTTTCCTTTTAAAAAACTGAGACCAAACCTTTAAAGCAGTAACAACTGGCTTAGTTCTGGGCACAGGAAATTATTCTTTTCTAAAATGTCACACCCCAGGCAACATTTCTTTGCAGATTTTTCCACCTGTTTTTATTTGATTGATGGGAGAGGGAAAGGGAGAGGAAAAAGGAGAGGAAGAGGAAGAGGGAGAGGGAGAGGGAGAGGGAGAGGGAGAGGGAGAGGGAGAGGGAGAGGGAGAGGGAGAGGGAGAGGGAGAGGGAGAGGGAGAGGGAGAGGGAGAGGGAGAGGGAGAGGGAGAGGGAGATTTGTTGTTCCACTTATATATGCATTCATTGGTTGGTTTGACCTGAATAAAACATGCAACTTTGGTGTATTGGAATGACACTGACCAACTAAGCTACCCAGCTTGGGCTTCCACCTTTTTAAAAAACCATGCTAATTTTATTTTATTTTTTTCATCACCATTTATCTACTTTATGCCTTCTTCCATCTTCCCTCATATCATGCTAGTTTTAGACAAAATGTGATCAAATTGGGACATATCTTTTTCAATAATTTTTTTGTTTTAACTTCAAAGGTTCAGAGTTGGAAAGGGTATTGTTTCAAATCAGGCTTCTCCACCCCTTTTTAGGAAGATAGAGGTAGAATACTGCCATACTGCCAGTCCGAGTCTTTTTGTCCCATTAAACAGCTCATGTCAAGAAATATATGAGTCAATATTTTCACGCTTTCTCCTTTATTTGTGTTTTTGCCCCTGCTCATCCCAGCAGAATAAACACTGGATTAGCTAAAAATGTTAAGTAATACAGAAAAAAGAAATGTGCTTAGTGGCAAGAACCCGAGATGTCTCAGAGATCTGGGGGGAGAGGGGAGGCAATTTTCCAGGTGAATTGAAGGAAGAACTTGTAAGGCATAGCCCCAGGTTACACCGCTGGCCTCCAAATCCGCTGGCAGGATTTACAAGTCACTGTCTATGGCTCTCCTGGCACTGGAGAAGAAATGTTCCCTGGACAGTAAAAACTTTCAGTTTACATAGCAATCAAAACAGAGCCTTCCTTTTGCAGGGAGAAGAAACTTGACCCCTGAATTTAACAGGGGAGGGTTAGAGAGATTCATTTCCATGCTAGCGTCTGGCGAGATGCCCTTGCTCTAAGATTGATGAGGATTTACAGTCACTCGGACAAGGATAGCATCCAAATGCAGAGAAGAGCCAAGTCTCCCCCTTAGTGGCTGACGGAAAGAAAGCGTCTGGTGCTGGGCGGCAGAAGCCGAGGGGAGCGCCGCCCGCCCGCGGCTCCTCCCCGCGCTCGCAGGCCCACTCCCAAACTAAGCACACACTTCCCGGTTCAGCGCAGCCCTGCGTGCGCCGCTACACGTAGCCGCGGGCAGTCCCCACAAGGGCTGCGTGGAGCACAGTCCCCGACCTGGGGCCGGAACCCACAGCTCGGGCGCACACCGCAGCGCGGCGGCTCGGCGCGGCCAATAGCCAGGGCGCGGCCCGCCCCATCGCCTCCCCCAGGGAAGCCTATAAGTTGCCCGCCGCGCCCGGGGCGCCTCCGCGAAGGACCGGTCCTAGCTGCTGTCCGGCTGCCCGCACTTGGCTCGCTCTTCCCGGCCATAGTCGCGGGAGTTATCGGCCGGGAAGGACCTGGACTTTCCGCTCTCTCGCGAGAAGTTCGCCGCCGCCAGGAGGTGGGGGTGCCTGAGCACGCGCAGGCCTTCGAGGAGCCGAAGATGGGGGGTTGCACCGTGAAGCCTCGGCTGCTGTTGCTGGCTCTCGTCCTTCAGCCCTGGAGTCCCTGCTTAGGTGCAGACTCGGAGAAGCCCGCCAGCATTCCCACAGGTGAGCACTCCCGCGGTCCGCACCCGTCTGCTGAGGCTCGAGGGGAGGGGGAGGGGGAGGGGGAGGGGGAGGGGGGACAGGGCAGTCCATTCATCCTTCATCTCTTGGCTCGGGCTTTGCTAGGTGGGTAGCCGGGCCTCCCCAGCACCGCAGGGGTCAGTGGCTACTCTGTGATCTCCAGGCCCTCCGAGGTAGATGGGATGGACTGCTCCTCCGCGCCAGGACAGCTCTCCGCGTTGCTGGTCCCCGGGGCAGAGGGGGGTGCCCGCCCGCCCTTGCTGCTTTTGGGCAGAGTTGGGGTGCCCTCCCTCCTGCTCCTGGAATTCCCAGTAACCTGAGCGCAAGAATTTTTGTACTGCAAGTCGGGATTTCCTTTTGGTCTTGCAGGTCCCTAGGCACCAACACCTTTCCTGCAACTTTCCTTTCTCCTCCTTTCCTGGAGGTGCATGATTCATCCATGTTGGACTAGGCAGTACTCCTTTTCTGACCTAAACAGTGTACTTTCTGATTGATGGTGACACATTCCTTCCAAGCGCCCCAGGAAGCAGCCGGTAACACCTAACCTCTTGCCAAAAACAACGCTCAAAACTGGTTGTTTTCAGTGGGGCTGCCTAGTTACTCAATACCTTTAGGCAGCAGCTTTCCTCCTTGGGGATTTGGAGGGGGAAACTATGGACACATAGTTCTCCCTTTAGCCGTCCTTTTCCTAAACCTGGTGCAGGTTCTTGTTTTCAGAAGCTGGATTTGCAGTGAATTGGCAAGTTCATGTAAAACAACACTTTTTACATTTAGCTAGATTAAAGACAGTCTCACCACATGTTTGTCTAAACATAACTTTGCTGCCATTTATCACACATGAGGTATTCTTGCAGTTTTCCACTTTTGTGCTTTAACTCTAGGCTCAATTATCTGGAATTAGATCTTGCATATAAATGTCCTGCTATATATATATATTTTGTTTTTTAATTAGGATCATTTTGCCTGCCTTCCTTCCTTTCTCCCTTCCTCCCTCCCTTCCTCCCTCCCTCCCTCCCTCCCTCCCTCCTTCCCTCCCTCCCTCCTTCCCTCCCTCCCTCCTTCCCTTCCTTCCTTCCTTCCTTCCTTCCTTCCTTCCTTCCTTCCTTCCTTCCTTCCTTCCTTCCTTCCTTCCTTCCTTCCTTCCTTCCTTCCAGTACATAAGCCACTTTTCTGCTCGAATTTTGCTTTCAGGCTTAAACCCAGAAGTAATAGTTTTGCCTTTATCTTTGAAATCCTCACCTGAGATATCTATCTATCTATCTATCTATCATCTATCTATTTCTATCTATCTGTCATCTATCTATCTATCTATCATCTATCTATCATCTATCTATCTATCTATTTATCTATCTATCATCTATCTATCTATTTTTTATATTTAGAGAGGAGGAAGAGGAGGAGAGAGAAACAGCAAGGTGAGAGAAAAACATAGCTTACCTTCCTTATATGCCCAGCCAGGCATGGAACCCACAAAGTAGGTGTGTACACTGACCAGGAATCAAACCTGTATCCTTTTGGTGCACAGTAGGAGCCACCTGGCAGGGCCTATCTTCATCTTTAAATGTTTAAGAAAACTTAAATGGGTAAACATGTTTCTACATTCCTGCTTTGTTAGCTTGAGAAACTTCACATTCAAATGGGTTTCTGTCAGTTAATACAATGCTTTTCTTTCTCTCAGATATATCTGATGGTTTCAAAATGGATTTCTGAACCCTGTTTGGTTCCTTTAAATTTGAACTGAAATTTTTTATAACAAACTTTTTCTTTTAATGTAACGGCTAGAAAATAGGCAAGTAAATGTCTTTAGCATACATGGAAATGGAGACGTTTAAAAAAAATTCACCAGAAAAATGACTTTTTTTGTGAAACACCCAAGGAATCTTATTGGGAAATAAAATAACCTCTAAGAACTTTGCTACTTTTATAGGGACCTCTTCAGCCTTGTATATTTTATTTCATTTAATCACCAATACCCTTTACTTTTTATAGAAGACATTTTTTGTTGTTGTTGTTCCTGCCTTTAAGTTTACAGTCCAAATCCTCTTCCTTTCCCACTCTGGTCTCTAAATTTCATGGAGCTGCACAATAAGTTTTAATAGACTCTAATATCAGAGAAAGGGAATATCAGATATGAATGTTTTCCAAAAAAAATGACCATATAAAACCCATTGCTGAAATCTGAGGACTGGTTGCTTTTGGTGGATGGCCATGGGAAATTCAACTGACTCTTAAATACAGAAAAACATTAATTTATAATACATAGAGCCAACAGTAACCAGTTTGGTTATGAACTTTTTAAGGTGGATGTGATAAGCTAATAGATATAGATGGCACACTGATTAATACTATGGCTAGAATTCTGGGCTATGCTCCATTTTCTCCCTAAAATATTTTAAGTGAAAATTACTTAATAGGAAACTTTTATTTGTCCATGTAAATATCAAGTAAACTCTAGAAGTTCTGTAGCTTCATAGGAGGTCTATAAGAAGAGTACTTATGAGGGAGGATCCAAGATGGCTGCTCGGGTAGACATCTAGCTGCGGCAGCACACAACAATTTCAATGGAATACAACTAAAATGTAGAGTGGACATTGCCCAGAGCTACAGGTAGTCGACTGACTGAAAATTCTACAACAAGAAGGAAAGAGAAAACCAGAAAGAAAATCAGAGGAGCTGAAAAAAAGCCTAAGGTACAGAGACATGCTGCGCGCCCGCCCGCATGTGTGCACGGAGAGGTCGCAGCCGGAGAGGAGGAGAGGGCGGGGAGCTGCCTTTCCTTCCCTAGCAGGAAGGAAATAAAACCCCCAGCCTGGGCTGAACCCCCAAACCGGCAGCGCTGAGCCCCCCGAACCGGCAGCACTGAGCCCCAGTTATGGGCCAGACCCTGGGGACCCAGGCTCCAGCAGGAGAAGATGGGGCCGTGAGGCGGAAAAGTGGCGAAAAGCAGGGCCCCCGGAGTCTCGCGCAATGCGCGCGCAGAGGAATGAATGTTGACTCTGATGCTGGGTTACCCTAGCCGGAAGAAACAAGGCCTCCAGCAGCACTGGGCCTCAGTCCAGACTGCTCCGAACCCCAGTTCTGGGCTAATCCCTGGGGACCCAAGCTCAGGCAGAGGGAGACGGGGTTGTGAGGTGGAGTCTGGGGAGAGCGGCAAAAGGCCGGGCCCCCGGGACTCGCGCAAACTGCACGCAGAGGACAGTCTGTGGGACTCGCGCAAACTGCGCGCAGAGGACAGTCTGTTGATTCTGATGCTGGACTCCCCTAGCGGGAAGGAGAAAAAAAGCTCCAGGCTGGGGGAACACGGAGGGGAGCGGAAGCCCCTGCCGGACTCCAGCCAACCGGGCACCAGCAAGGAGGCGGGCCACGGGGCCCCTGGGGGCGTGGGTGCCCCTAAGCCTTTGACCACTGAGCTCGGGCAATGGAGCCAAAGCCGGGGGCTGCTTCCTGGGCGGCGCCATCCCGGCAACAGGCTGAAGCAGCGCAGGAGCCCGCGGAGAACAAAGGGGTGCCACAGGCCAACCTGCTGAGCTCCCAGGACCAGGAGGAAGAAACCAAAGAAGTTCTCAATGTGAAGAAATCATGTGAGAGCAAAAAATAGTAAAATTACTTAAGAAAGAATACAAAGAAGATCTTGAAAAATCAAAGACTAAGTCAGAGCTCAACTCACCAGCCAACATTGCAACATAAATGCGTTTTAAAAAGAAAAAAGAAAAAAAAAAAAGGACAGAATGTTGGAACAGCGGCGGCCAGGCCTAGAGTGGCCAGGCACAAGGCAGTGGCAGCCAGACCCGGAGCAGCAACGGCCAGGCCCCAGAACAACAGCAGCCAGAACCAGAGCATCAACAGCCAGCACTGGAGTAGCCAGACCTGGGGCAGTGGCAGCCAGGCATGAGGCGGAGGCGGCCAAGCCCAGGGTGGCCAGTCCAGGAACACTCAGACCTGGAGTGGCCGGGCCCGAAGAAGCAGGGCCCAGAGCAGCCGGGGTGGGAGCAGCCAGACCCAGAACAGCAGTAGCCAAGCCCAGAGCATCCAGGTCGGGAGTGGCCAGGCTCGGAGCGACCGGGCCCGGGGCAGCCGGGCCCAGAGCAGCCGGGTCAGGTGCGGCCAGGCCCGGAGCAGCGGCTGCCAGGCTGGGAGCGGCCAGGCCCGGGGGAGCAGGCGGGTTGGGTGTGGCCAGGCCCAGAGCAGCGGCTGCCAGGCTGGGAGCGGCCAGGCCCGGGGGAGCAGGCGGGGCTGGTGTGGCCAGGCCCGGAGCAGCGGCTGCCAGGCTGGGAGCGGCCAGGCCCGGAGCAGCAGCAGCCAGGTCCAGAGCAACTAGGTCGGGAGCGGCAGTGACCAGACCCAGAGCAGCTGGTTGTGGAATGAACCAGAGCAACAGAGGCCAGGCCCTGAGCAGCCAGGCCCAGAACAGCTCGCTCCTCGCCTGCCCCTGCCCCACGGCTGCTTCTCAGACATGGCTGGAAACTTTCGTGGGAAATTGAGGGTCTGCTGAATCAAGTGATGAAGGCTTAGATCTGGATGTGTTGAGTTAGTTTAGGACTGGGGTGTTGATCTGTGAGTGCCTTGGGTGGGGCCTGGATGAAGCTGGTGGACCTATTGGGAAATGTCTTTTGTGTGAAGTGTATCATTGGGCATGTGGAGGTATTATTGATATGAGAAAATGCTAAGTAACTGATTTACTATCTGAAAAGGGATTTACTATTGGGGAAATTGAGGGAAGAAGAGACTGAACATAAACTGCACCTATGGATGAGGACAATGGGGGATGGGGAGGGGGCAGAGGGTGGGGTGGGAACCTGGTGGAGGGGGGAAGAAATGAGGAACCTCTGTAATAATATGAACAATAAAGATTGATTTAAAAAAAAAAAAAAAAAAAAGAAGAGTACTTATCATCTCTAACTTCCTGAATTTGTCACCATGTCCCAGCTAGCCATGACGAAATAGAGTTTCTTGGCCCTATTGACATTTTGAGCCAGGTAATT